ACAATGGAACCCCCGCATCCCTCCCGGCTGTTTCCCCCCCCCGGTTCCGGGAGCTCCCGGCGCCGTAATTACGGTAGTTTACCGCACTTTACCGTAATTCCCCACAAGCCCCGGGGGTCTCCCCAGCTCTCGCGCGCCCTTTGGCGCCGCAATTACGGTAATTACCGTAATTAACACGCTAGTTAACGGCGAGGCGGTTTGGGGGTGCTCAGCTTCCTCTCCCGACGCTCCCAGCTCGGGGGTTCCGCTGTCGCCCGTGGCCTCTGGCGGCGCTCAGGGCGGGATTTCGGGCGCCTCCCAAAATCCGGGGGTCCCGGCGGGGCCTTTGGGGGAGCCCATCGGCCCTGAGATATTTGGGGTTTTAGCGAGAGGTTTCGGAAGGTCTTGGGAGTCTCAGACTTTGTGGATTTGGGATCGGTTTTGGCAGGTCTCGGTCTCGTGGGGGCTTTTTTGAGCGGGGTTTTCTCGGTGTTTGAGATTTTGGGGCAGTTTTGGGGTTTCCTGCTTGTGATGGGGTAGTGGGGTGGTCTTTACTTTAGGATGGTCCCCATTGGGCATTTTTGGGAGTTCTCCGCGAGTTCTCAAGGGGGTTTGATTGTCCCTAGGGGGTCTTGGGGGGCTTTAGGGCCTCCTGGGTGGTTTGGGGGGCTCCTTGAGAGGTTTGGGTGGTCCTTGGTGGGTTTGGGGTGGAATCATTTTTCAGGCTGATGGCTCGGAAACTTTTGGGGAGGTTTTGGGGCATCTTGGCGTGTTTTGGGACCTCCTGTATGAGCTTTGGGGGGGAGGGTGTTTGGGGGTCCCTGGTGCCTTCAGGCCCCCCAATTTTGCCGTGACCCCTTTCCCTGTCCCCCCCTCCACTCCCCAGATCGCAGCCAAGATCGGGGGGGACGCAGCGCCGCCAGTGCCCAACAACAACCCCCCACCCCCGGATTTCGGGGGCTTCGGGGGGCAAAAACGGCAGCTGGAGGATGGCGGTAAGATGGGCAGGGGGCACCCAAACCCGGGGAGAGCCCCCCCAGACTCCCAAAACTTTGGGATAATTGAGGGGGGGGGGTCCCTAAAACCACGTCGTTCTCTCCTTCCTCAGACCAACCTGAGAGCAAGAAACTGGCAGCGCAGGGGGAAGGTGAGTGGGGTTTGGGGGTCCCCAGGGTGGGCTCGGGGAGGGGGTCTCGGGGAGGGGGGGGTCCTGTAGCAGCGGGTTGTTCCCAGGAGGGGGCGCTGTGGAATGTCCCGGAGAGGTTTAAGGGGTCCCAGGGGAGAGTTTGGGGCGGGGGGGGGTCCCCAAAAGGCGTTTGAGGGTCCCAGGGTAATCTGGGGTGGCCAAAGGGAAACTTGGGTATCCTGGAGGGGCTTTCAGGAGGTCCTGGGGGAGGTTTGGGGAGAGTCTGAGGGGAGGTTGGGGGGGTCCTGGGGGAGTTTTGGGGTCTCCAGGGCAGGTTTCAGGAGTCTCAAGGTGTTTCTTAGGGAGTTCTTGTGGTGGTTTGGGGGATTCTGGAGGGGTTTGGGGGCTGGGAGAGGTTTGGGGGGGCGGGGGTCTTGGGGGGATGTTGGGGCCCTCCCCAAATCGGGGGGGACCCCAAAAGACAGGTCAGGTTCCCCCCCCCAGCGCTGCCGGCACCGATGGGGCCCATCCACCCCCCACCCAGGTATGGGGGTCTGGGGGGTGTTGGGGGGGTGGAAGGGGTTTTTTGGGGGGGTTCCCGGGGGGAGTTTGTTACGGGTCAGGAAGGACGGGGGGGGGATTTTCCTGGGGAGGTTTGTTGGGATTTGAGGGGGTTTTTTTAGGGTGGGGGGGTGGTACTGAAGGTTTTGGAGGGAGGTTCAAGGGGTCCTCGGGAGGGGGAGTCGAAGGTTTTGGTGAGTGTTATGGGGTCTTGGGGTGGTTTTAAAACGTCCTTGGGGATTTAGGGGGGGGGGTATTGGGGGGTTTTGGGGTGCTCATGAGGTTTTTTGGGGTTCCCATGACCCCTTGGTGCCCCTCCAGGACGACGGTGACAGAGGAGTACCGGGTCCCTGACGGCATGGTCGGCCTCAGTGAGTCTGGGGGGAGCTTCGGTGGTCCCTGGGGGGGTTTTGGGGACCTTCCTGGAGAACCTGGGGGATCATCCCCAATCCCCCTGTCTGTGTGTCCTTCCCCTGCAGTCATCGGACGAGGGGGGGAGCAGATCAATAAGATCCAGCAGGATTCGGGGTGCAAAGTGCAGATCTCCCCAGGTACGGGGTTGGGTGCTGAGACCCCAAAACCTTCTTGGGCCCCCAAATTATGGGGGGGACAGCCCCCAGAATCCCCTCAAAGGCCTGGGGGGACCCTGCTGATCCCCCCCCCACCCGTGCTCCCCCCAGACAGCGGCGGTTTGCCGGAGCGCAGCGTGTCCCTGACGGGGTCACCGGAGTCCGTGCAGTGAGTGACCTGAAAAATCCCCCTGGGAAACCCTCAAACCCTCCCAGAACCCCAAAATAACCCTTGGGGAACCCGGAACGCCCTCTGGGACCCCCTTAGGGAACTCTCAGACCCCCCAAAATCTTGCCAGGATCCGCAGCTTCCCCTCGTTGACCTCTCAAATCCCCTCAGCGACTTCCCAAATTCTGTCCTAAAGCCCTCCCAATCTTTCCTAAACCCCCAGACCACCCTCTAACCCCTCCCCAAATCCCCGTGTGACTCCCAAAACCCTCCAAAAATCTCCTTTAAACCTCCCCAAACGCCCCCAGTGATTCCCCCCCAACCCCTTTTCCCCCAGGAAGGCGAAGGCGCTGCTGGACGACATCGTGTCACGGGGCAGGGGGGGACCCCCGGGACCCTTCCCTGACACCACCAACGGCCAGAACGGGACCGTCCAGGAGCTGATGATTCCAGCTGGAAAAGCGGGATTGGTCATCGGGAAGGGTGGGGAGACCATCAAACAGCTCCAGGTGCCCCCAAAAATCCCTTGGTAGGGAGGGGCGGGGGGGGCTTGGGAGGGTTTTGGAGTCACTCAGGGGAGTTTGGGATTGGGAAAGGTGTGGGGAGAGAGCATTCAGCAGCTCCAGGAAACCCAAAAATGCCCTGGGAGGTCCCTGGGTGGTTTTTTTTTTTTGGGGGGGTAAAGTTGAGAGCTGAGGGGGTCCCCCGGTGCCCCCCCAGGAACGGGCGGGGGTGAAGATGATCCTGATCCAAGACGGTTCCCAAAACACCAACGTGGACAAACCCCTGCGGATCATCGGGGAGCCCTACAAGGTGCAGGTAGGTGAGCGAGAGGAGCCCAAAAAAACCCCCCCTCCCACCTTGAAGCGACCCCCCCCTTGAAAATAACCCGAACTGAATCCCCCCAAAAATTATCCTTGAAAAAAAAAAAAAAAAAACAAACCTTCCCCCTTGCCAGCAAGCCTGTGAGATGGTGCTGGACATCCTTCGGGAGAGAGACCAGGGCGGCTTCGGCGACCGCTCGGATTACGGTGCCCGCCTGGGCGGGGGCATCGACGTGAGTGGCACCCCAAAATCCCTTTTTTGTTACCCAAAATCCCCTTTTGGCACCCCAAAATCCCCTTTTGGCACACGGAAATCCCCTTTTGGCACACGGAAATCCCCTTTTGTTACCCCGAAATCTCCTTTTGTTACCCCGAAATCTCCTTTTCGTCACACAAAAATCCCGTTTTTCGTTGCAAAAATCTCCCGATGTTTTACCCCCCCAAAAAATCTCGATATCCCGTTTTTCAACTCAAGGTTTTGGTGTGAGTTTTCACACAAACACCAACCCAAGCCCCCGTTTTTTCACGCTAAAAAAGTCTCGTTTTTCGGATCAAATTAATTATTCTTCATTCCTAAACACATATTTTTTCAAAGAAATCCCGTTTTCCAATTTAGAAGGTTGTAGCTTTCAATCAAAAACCAATCTTTACTTTCGAATTTTAAAAAACCCTCTTCTCCAATAAAAACCTTTGCATTTCAGTCAAATAATCCCGTTCTTCAGCATAAAAAAATCCCGGTTTCAAGGCAAAAATTATCATTTTCGCCCTAAAACTCACGGGTTTTTTTATCCAAAAAAACTATTTTTCACTCAAAAAAAACCCCTCCGAACCCTTTTCCACCCCAACCCCTTTATCCCGAGGGGTTCAGGACCCTCAGACCCCCCTCCCCACCGAATTCCCCCAGGTTCCAGTGCCACGACACTCGGTCGGGGTCGTCATCGGCCGCAGCGGGGAAATGATCAAAAAGATCCAGAACGACGCCGGGGTGCGGATCCAGTTCAAGCAAGGTTTGGGGAGACCCTTCCCTCCTTTAAGAAAGACCCCCCCCCCCCCCTCCCCATCGATCCAGGGGCGTGGGGACCGCCCCCCGTGACAATCCCCAAACCCCACAGACGATGGGACGGGGCCGGAGAAAATCGCCCACATCATGGGACCCCCCGAGCGCTGCGAGCACGCGGCCAGGATCATCAACGACCTGCTGCAGAGCCTGCGGGTATTTATTTGGGGAGGGGGCTTTGGGGAGGGGGCTTTGGGAGGGGGGATCATCAACGACCTGCTGCAGAGCCTGCGGGTATTTGGGGAGGGGTCTTTGGGGTGGGGGAGATCATCAGGGATCTGCTGCAGAGCCTGCGGGTATTTGGGGAGGGGGATCATCAGGGATCTGCTGCAGAGCCTGCGGGTATTTGGGGAGGGGGCTGCACCTTGTGGGGGCGCCAGGAGCCGTCCTAGGGGAAGTTCGGGGGGTGTTTTTTTGGGGGAAGATTTAGGAGCGGTTGTGGGGCAGGGATGTTTTCCAGGGTGTGTGTATCCCCCCCCCCCGTTTTGGGGGTTGTGCCCACCACCCCTAACACCCCCTCTCTGCAGAGCGGCCCCCCGGGACCCCCCGGGCCGGGGCTGCCGCCGGGGGGTCGCGGCCGGGGCCGGGGTCAGGGCAGTTGGGGCCCCCCCGGGGGGGAGATGACCTTCTCCATCCCCACCCACAAGTGCGGGCTCGTCATCGGCAGAGGTGAGAAGGGAGGGGGGTGGGTTTCGACCCCCGGGACCACCCTAACCCTCCCCTTTCACCTCCCGGTTCATCCCCGGCTCCCCAAAATATCCACAAACACCCCCAAAATCTCTCCCTGCAACTCCCCAGACCCCCGTAGTTCTCCCCTGGACCCCCAATTTCCTGCAAAGAATCCTGAACCCCACCACAACCCACCCCTAGGACCCCCATGAATGCGTCCCTGAATAAATCCCCCCCAAAGATCCCCCCCTTTATAGAGGGGGTGCTCATTGGGGGTCCACGCGTTGGGGTTTGGGGGTTCCCAGTGGGGGGATTTGGGCTCCTCAGAAGAGCTTGGGGGGTCCCGGGAGGGTTTCAGGCTTTTCCAGAGAAGGTTTTGGAGGGTCCCAGGGAGTAACTGTGGAATTTTGGGGGTCCCCCCCCCCACTTTCTGACCACGGGGGTTTTGGGGGTGCAGGGGGGGAGAACGTCAAGGCCATCAACCAGCAGACGGGGGCGTTTGTGGAGATCTCGCGGCAGCTGCCCCCCAACGGGGACCCCAACTTCAAACTGTTCGTGATCCGCGGGACCCCCCAGCAGATCGACCACGCCAAGCAGCTCATCGAGGAGAAGATTGAGGTGGGGGCACCCCCCAAAAAAAAAAAAAAAAAAATTTTCCGGGGGGATTCCGAAACTCCCCCCAAATCCCCCCGAAATCCCAAAAGGTCCCGGACTCCTTGGGGTCTCGGTGTCGCCCTCCTGTGGCGAACGTGCGGTGTTGCCGGTTGCCCAAACATCTCCCCCAGCCCCAAATCGCGCTGCGGGACCCCAGAACCCTCCTGGGTTTCCCCCCCAAAACCTCCCCTGAGCCCTGTTGTGTTTTTTGTTTGTTTGTTTTTTTTTTCTCCCCCCAACCCAGGGCCCGTTGTGCCCCGTCGGTCCCGGTCCCGGCCCAGGGGGTCCCCCCGGCCCTGCCGGTCCCATGGGTCCCTTCAACCCTGGACCCTTCAACCAGGGTCCCCCCGGAGCCCCCCCGCAGTGAGTACCGGCTTTTCTGGGGGAGGGGGGTTCTCGGGGTATCCCCCCCACCCAAATCCGACCACCCTGACCCCTCTTTTCCACAGCCCGGGGGGGCCACCCCCCCACCAGTACCCCCCCCAGGGCTGGGGCAACACGTACCCCCAGTGGCAGCCACCAGCCCCCCACGACCCCAGTGAGTACCGCGACCCCTCGGGATTTTGGGGGGGGGCTCCCTGGGGCTGACCCAGCTGGGTTTTGGGGGTTTTGGGGGGGATGGACACCCACAGCGTGTGGGATGTGGCCTCTTGGTTCTGGGAGTGCTGTGGAATTTTGAGGGGTGGGCACAGAGTTTAGGGCTTTCCCCCCCGCCCCCCTTTTTTTTTTGGGGGGGGGTCTGCCCTGACTCACGCTGGGATTTTTGGGCCTCTCCGGTGTGATTTTGGGGCTGTGACCCACATGGGTTATGGGGGGATCCCGAGTTTGAGGCCCCCTTCGCTGAACTCAGGACCCCCCCAACCTCACCTCACCACGGCTCTTTTGGGGTTGGGGTCCTCCCTATCCAAAGCGTGGCAATGTCACATCCCACCCCTGCTGCTTCCACTTGGGAACATCCCGAATTTAGGCTTTTGGGGGGGGGGGAGTCCCCAAATTTGGGGCCGGATTTTTGGTGGGGGTGATGGTGATGATTTGGGTAGGGGGGCTCCCCTCGGCTGACACCGTGGTTTTGGGGCCCCCTCCAGGCAAGGCGCCCGCCCCGGACCCCAACGCGGCTTGGGCCGCCTACTACTCGCACTACTACCAGCAGCCCCCCGGGCCCGTGCCGGCGCAGCCCCCGCCCGCCGCGCCCCCCGTGCAGGGGGAGCCCCCCCAGCCTCCCCCCACCGGCCAGGCCGACTACACCAAGGCCTGGGAGGAGTACTACAAGAAATTAGGTGGGCACGTCGAATTCGGGAGAGGAGGGGAGAAAATTGGGGAAAATGAGGGTGGGTGGGTGGGTACAGGTGACTCCAAGCCGCCCCAGCCCACCTGGGACTCTCCCCAAATTCTGCGCTGGGGTTGAGGGAAGGCACGCTGGGCTCCTCGTGGCTCTGTGGAGGGTTTTCCCAGCAGGTCCTGGCTCCTAAAATTCCCCCAGGACCCACAAACTTCCCCTTGAGGACCCTCCGAACACCCTCCACCAAGGAGCCAAACTCTCTGAACGCCCCCCCACCCAAGGGACCCTCCGGACAGCCCCTGGGGGACCCCAGACCTGCCCTTCTGTCCCCCTCTAACCCTGCTAGGGAACCCCTAAAACCCTCGGGGGGCCAACCCCTGACCCCCCCGTGCCCTCCCCAGGCCAGCAGCCGCAGCAGCCGGGGGCTCCCCCGCAGCAGGATTACACCAAGGCCTGGGAGGAATATTACAAGAAACAAGGTAAATCCCACCCACCCCCCAAAAAATCCCACCCAGGGGGGGCTTTGGGGACATCCCCTCCCACCCTGACCATCCTCACCGTGTCCCCCACAGCGGCACAGGTGGCCTCGGGGGGCGGTCCCGGTGCTCCCCCCGGCCCCCAGCCCGATTACAGCGCAGCCTGGGCCGAGTATTACCGGCAGCAAGCA